TATTTATACAAAAAAATAAAATGAAATGAAAAATCTTAGGGAGTGTCTGAGAGATATTTTTATGTAAAAATGCATTTTTAAATTGTAAATTGATGGGAAATGTAGGGTTGAAAAATAAGGAAAGATTTTTGATTTATGTGTAATATTATTTTAATAAAGAATGTGTAGTTGAAAAGAAAAGAGAAAAATTTATTTTGAAAAAAATGAGTACCAAACAGGGCCTTAATAACACTTTTACTTCATCTAGTATTCTAGTTTGGTGTTTAACATTTGAACCGGCCTTACTCAACTATGGCCCTGTTTGGTTTGGATTAAATTTTGATTTCAATCTAAATCAAAGTCAAACAATCAATATTAATCACATCTTTCATTGTTTCCGCAACTTTTGAACTATACATTTTAAAAACTTCTATCAAAATCTAATTTTAATCCCCAATCAAACACTCTCCATGTAAGATACTAAGTGACACGTGAGAGCAATACAAACAAACGAGGAAGAAGCACAATTGCAAAATAAAAATAGTGGTTGGCTGATGAAAACGTAAAAATTTCAGTTTAATGAGACCCCCGAAAAAACTTACACACAGAAGAAGAAAACATGCAATTGAATTTAGGACAAATGTTTCAACATTTCTGAATGGTATCAAGAGTGCAATTTACTTATTCCTACCATTTCAATCATAGTACAGAAATTCAAGAAATTATTGTACGGAAACCTTATTGTGTTAACGGGTTGACCAAAAGCCATAATGTCTCAAATTGAGATGTTTATCATGTCGAAGGATTCTATAGCTTTCCTCGTTCGTCTCACTTGACATCCTATTGAGCTTAAATTGAATCTTCAAGTTTTAACTCCTTTTTCTATTTGGTACAGTAGAATTGGTGAAAGCAATTGTGACTCGTGATATGAAAAGGAGAAAACAAAAATCGAAGGTTCCGTTTGAGAGCAAATGTGGGAAAAGTAAGTCAATTCCATATAAATTGAAAAAGAAAAAACTACTAAAAAACTATAGGAATTCGATTTTCACTCAATTAGTCAAAAACATGCTTTTAAGTATTTGTATTTTAGAATTCGAACTCCATTTCCACTTTCGTATCAAACAGTCAAAGTAGAAAACGAATTCCTCAGTGTGGCATTTTTCATGAAATTTAATGCTATCAAACGGATCCTAATATGTAGATATAACCTTGTTTGAGCCACATTATTTTCATAAGAATGCATTTTTAAAAAGTGTATTGATTGGAAATGTGTGATTAAAAAATAACAAAATATTTTGAATTTACGTATAATATTATTTTATTAAAAAATGTGATTGAAATGATGCCAAGTTATTATTTAAACACATATTTTTTAATAGAATATGGGCAAACAGGACCATAATGGAAAGGAATTTTATTTATTTTATTATTATTATTATTTTTTGTGGGAGTCATAGTTTAGACTATTGAAGTCAACAAAGGCTCCCATCACAGTCTATTGTGGTTTATTAATAAACATCAAAAGGGGTTGGTAGAATAGGGGGCATTACGTCCCCCATACGATGTTTACTAAGTGACTTCAAAATTTACATGCTCATCAATTCAAAATTTAATATATATTGGCATCCCTCTTTTGACTCCAATTGTCCATTCTATCAAGCCTCGACTTAAGTCGATCAAGATATAATTTAAATAAATATTTTTCTAGAATTTTGTTTTTTAAATTTTCTAATAAAATAGTTTAAAATCAGAACGTGCATTGTACTTGAATTCAAACATCTCATCTCGTTTTAGGCATTAGATAGAAATTAAATTCAGCATGTACGTGAGGTAACACATTGAAACATAGGCCCTGTTTGTTTCCCATTATTTGGCCCAAAAAATGAAAAATATTATCGTTATCCATCACATCAAGCCACCATATTTGATTTCTTCTCTCTTGTGTGGATTCCGTAACGACTATATTTTTCATTTTCATTCTTATAAGAATGAGAATCAAACGGGAGCATAATATTAAATGTGAAGAAATCCCCGCACACCTAAATAGCAATAATCATCATCATCATATGCTTTTACGATAAAACCCTAAAAGAAATAAAAAAATTTTTTTTTACAACAATAACAAATTAATTTTCTTCCGATAAATGCTTCGCCGATCATTCTCATTTTATTTTATTAATAAACACTACACATTAAGATGATAAAATGAATAAAACAAAGAATATACCGATCGTATCAAAACTAACCATTGAAACACTTTTCTTTTTGTTTTTAATCCACTTGTGCCTATATTTGACAATTATAAGGAGGATAAGAAAGGGGAAAAAAATAATATAAGCTATTTTGTCATTTTTGAATTAAGAAAGAAAATATTATTTTAGACAATTACAGTAATGAATATTGAACAGTACTGTAAATAACGTTTAATCTATTTTATTCTTTAATACTATCTAACAAATTAATTTAACAAGCAATTTAATGAGTTTACACAATTTGCACGTGCTTCTTACTTCGTATTGGAATTTGTACGACTACAAAATAATTTTATTCCAAAAAAATACATTCTTAAACAGTGACTTGACATCATTTCAACCACACATTCTTCAATAAAATAATATTACACGCAGATAAAAAACTTTTCTTTATTTTTTAACCACACATTTTCCATCAATACACTATTCAAGAATGCATTATTACCAAAATAATATGGCTCAAACACCCCCTTAATTTTATCGCATTGACCTAGAAATTATCTTATGAGTACACGGAGTTTGTATTTCAACTTTATAACTTATTATTTTTTTATCGATTAGTAGTTTTTTCGAAGTGATTTTTAGGTATAGAATATCACAATCAGATAAAATGTTTTAATTTATATAGGTGCACTCAATCAATTCAACTGGGCCAACCTGCTTTTATTTTGTGTACACAACTTTGCATAAATGCTTAATTAATGCCCCATATTATAGGTATAGCTTTCAATATCCCAACATATTTTTAGAAGAGAAACTTGGACAAAATATCCAATTTTAATGATGCATTTGATAAAATGGCTACTTTCAGTGACATTTGGAAAATGATTAGTGAAAATTAGGACAGAAATATCATTCGAATGTAAATTATTTTCATACCGCCGACCTTTTTTTTCTTCACTCTTTACCACCACCTACTTCTAGAGAGGGGCTTACTCATCCCAATCAATGCATATTCTTCTTCATTATCTTCTTTTTTGTACTTGAGTGAATATACGCCATTGAATTTCTTGACTCCTATTTAGAATCTTACGAAACTCATCTGCATTTCTTCATCGTGATGTTAAAACCAAATATCAAATTGAATTTGATTCGAAAGCCATCTTTACAGTGTAAACCTAATCCCACCCACTTCTCGACATTTGGTTGTCGAGATTAGAGTTTTTTGGTTAAGCAATTACAAACATTTCTAAAAATTTTACAAGAGGTATTTTGATCAATTTTCATTAAACTTGGCCACATTTTTGCAAATATTTTTGAAAACGGCCTCAAAATGTACACTTAAATGGCTAAATTTTGAAATATTGTAAATATTTTTTTTCCTCTAGTGGGATGGAGTTCAACCGAACAACTTGTATAAAAGTTAAGTTGTAATTATGATATAAATGTGTGTTTGATTGACTTTATTTTTTTATGAAAAATGCTATTTTTCATCCAAGTTCCTATTTTTTTGGTGTTTGATTAACAATTTTTTTTCATGAAAAATATTTTTCAAAAGTTAGTTACATGTTCATATTTTCCTGAAAAACGAAGAAAACATTTTCTTTGAGGAGATGTATGTTTTTATTTTCTAAGTAATTCACACATACTCTCTATATTTATCCCCTTTCTTTTTCATCTACCTGTCGAT